GTCAATAGTTAAGAAAGTACAGTGCAATTTAACAAAAGTCATTATTTAATAAAGCAAAATTTTATTTATTTAAAGTTCACAAGTTACGGCAGTCACATAGTAATTGCAAGGTTGCTAGTTTTATTTTAAATTCCAAGATAATAATTTAGAAATTTATCACAATTTTTCTCTTTATTTAACTCTAAATTTGAAGGAGATATTATTCAAGCTTGTAGTAAGTATGAGCAGAGGAAAATGTGAGAAAGGTTTTACAATTGGCCATATTTTATATGAGTAATATACACAGATATATATATATATATATATATATATATATATATAAAGTCTAAAGAATGTTATAAAAGAATGAAAATGCCAAGCTCAGAAGCTCTAAGTTATATTTTATTCATTCATATGTAATGTAGTTGGTTGAAAATTGCTCATAAATATTTATTGGTTTTTCAGAGAGGACAATAATAAACCGAACCACGTCTTATTGTTTACTATAATCAACCCAGTTTATCCAATAACAGTGGTAAGTAAAACCAAACTCATTAAATATATACATTATTAATGATTAATGATATTTATTAGCCCATATACATGGTAAAGCAAATATATTGAAGATGATTATTATTATTTATGGTAATATATATATTATATATGCATGTATATCAGAGAGAGCACTCAGTCTGCAATGCACTCTGATCTGGCGAGCCAAAAATTTCCAAGATCGTGTGTGTTGTGACAAGCTTAGTACTCACGTACACGATGCTTACGTGTATTATACAATACAGTCCACGTGGATAAATAATGCTCATTCCACCCGTAAATTCCTCATTGACTTTGAGGCATAACGACGGCTCATTTCTCAACCAAGACGACACCGTTGTCTGGATTAAGTTGAGCGAGGTCAAGCGACTGTCAGCCGAATCGAAATCTAAAAGTCTAGCCTGCAGATGGCTAATTTTTTACGCTCTTTAAATATAGATTATTTTAAACAATAACCCATTGGCTAATTAATATTATTAATTAATATCTACACTGAGAAAAGAAAATACTTTTATTAAGAAAATTTTCTTGATACAAAAATTCATGTTCTTGAAAATTTTCAAGAATATATATTCTTAACTCAAGAATTTGTTAAATAGATTGAAATAATTTTTACTTAATTTAAATAAAGCTCTCTTGTTTATCTATTATCCAAAGATAAATATTGATAGCTCTTGTCTTAAGAGATTAATAATTTGATCGTCATCGAATTTTTTGAACCAAGAATTTATTGAGTAAAAGTATTTTTTTTTTCTCAGAGTACACAAAATTTTTTTACACTAAAAAAATTTTAAGGAATACAAAAGTTATTTTAGAGCAAGAAGAAATTTTCTTGGCTCAAGAAACATTGACTTCATTCAAGAAATTTTCAATATTTTCTTGAGCCAAGAAAATTTACACTTCAGTCAAGAATTTTTTTTTTTTTTTTTTTTCAGTGTAAAATATTTATCAAATCTTGTTTTATTTTTATCTAATTTATAAACATCTGTTTCAGGAAGTACTGCACACAATCAGTGCACCCAGCGGACAGGTACAACGTATCGTTATCTTCAAGAAAAATGGAGTCCAAGCTATGGTTGAATATCCTTTTTATTCTAAATATAAATAGAGTTAATTTTTTTTTTTTTTTTTTTTTTTTTAAGTAAAAGGTAAATTAATTTTTATTTATGTTTTATTTTTTATTTTTATTATTTTTTATTTATGTTTAATTGTAAACCTTCAAAAAGTAAATGTAAGAAATGTTATGAATAAGTACAGATATATTATCCTTAACGATTTGTTTTCTGATATTACGTTTGACTCGGTGGAGTCAGCAACACGGGCAAAAGAAGCCCTCCACGGTTGCGACATTTACTCGGGTTGCTGCACACTGAAGATTGACTTTGCCAAGGTAAGCATAAGAAGTCTGGTCGTAACGGGGTAGTATGGTTTATTCAAAGTTAAAATGTTGACAACGTGGTAACTGGTACGCAGGTCGCGAATTATCGATCGAACGAATGAGAAAGACAGTGAGAGAGAAAGAGAAAGATGAATAGAGGGAAGATAACGACAAAGACAAAGTAAAGCGAGAAAACTAGTAGGTACTCTATGTATGTATGTATGTATGTATGTATGTATATTATGTACGTAGATAATAACTATGTAAAGTTAAGTCGAGAGTATCCATAGAGGACAGTAGTAAGACAGTGAGAAAGTAAAGCGAATGAGAAGATTACGGAGACTGAGAAAATGTGAGCCCAAGTATTAAAGGTAGAAGAGGAGTCCGCGAATTCGTTGGCTCGTCTTGCAACGTCTGCCAACGGTTTGAATTAATACTCTCGTTTAATGCCTCTACGCTGGGTTTAGTTATACGCTAGGCGATTTAGCAGTTTGGCGGTCTAGAAAGCACGTGAGTGCCTGCCAAAAATAGTCAGATGATTCTACTACAACTACTGGCACCACCGCTGCTCCAACCAACAACTGGTATGACTGAAACAAATATCCTCAAGACTCACGACTTATGGGATCTGTTCCCCTTGACTAAAAGTCGAGGAGCAACACTGCATTCCTCGAGCGATAACACCCATAAAATAAACCATCAGCTCGTAATATCTTCAGCCAGTTGTAGTTATAGTTATTATAATCAACCGGATACTTGAAATTTAAATCGTCAATCCGACTGGTGACGCTAATGCTAATAGTAATAACATTTTACGATACATCAAACCTAGGAAACGAGCACTTATGCGTACGCTATATGTGATTTAAAACGTTGAATATGCCATCCGCTGGCAGTTGGTTCACTGGACAAATATAGCTCAAGTATTTCAGACTTGACGTTGATATGACAGGGATGCTCCAGTAGTAGGTTACATTACCAAAAAGTTTGCTATTTTTTCTTCCCACCACAAGTTATCTTCATCATCTTGATGATGATAATAATAATAATAATAATAATATTCTCAATAATAATCATCAACATCCTCGTCTACGACGGGCAAATAATTTTCGGTAATTTCGGTTAAATATCCTATGAATCTTGTACAGTTTACACGAGTAAGCGTGATCTTAACGATTTGTCATTCGTTTCTCTCCATCAACTCTCACACTTAGCTTCATCCCGGCCTGGTCCCTCGTACTTTCATTGCGGTTATACATATTTTATGAGACATTTATAGTCAATTTAGTGGATTTTAACTTGTGTGTATAACAATCATTATTATTCATTTTCATTTGATCATTATTATTATTATTACTAGCAATTTTGCAGTCACTATGTGATTGCCGGGACTCGTGAATTATAAATAAATAAAATTTTGCTTTATTAAATAATGACTTTTGGTAAATTGAACTTGTACTGTATTTTCTTAAATATTGCCGTTTTTATAGATATAAGCTCATCCCGATATTACACTCATCGAGAGCTTTCATTTGAGTACCCACATGCATTTTTGATATATTTTTCATATATACATATATGTAATATATATAAATATATAAAATATATGAAAAATTGATGTGGGTACTCAAATGAAAGCTCTTGATGCGTGTAACATCGGGATGAGCTTATATCTTTAAAAACGTCAATAGTTAAAAAAGTACAGTGCAATTTAACAAAAGTCATTATCTAATAAAGCAAAATTTTATTCATTTAAAATAGATAGTAAAATAAAAGAGTTATATATAAAAATATATGAAAAATTGATGTAAGTACTCAAATGAAAGGTCTTGATGAGTGAAACATCAGGATGAGCTTATATCTTCAAAAACGTCAATAGTTAACAAGATACGTAATTTCTTAATTATTGACATTTTTAAAGATATAAGCTCATCCTGATGGTACACTCATCGAGACCTTTCATTTGAGTACCCACATGGCATTTTTTCATATATTCTATATATATGGTATTTGTGAAATATACAAATATATAAAATATATGAAAAATTGCCATGTGGGTACTCAAATGAAAGGTCTCGATTAGTGTAACATCAGAATGAGCTTATATCTTTAAAAATGTCAATAGTTCACGAGATACAAGGTCATTTCTTTATTATGTATCCAGAGATAGAGCCTAAATACTTATCATAATAAATTGACTATCAGTGAGAATGATATAAAACCTTAAAAAGGCACAAATTTAAGTCAAGACATTTGGAATAACATTAAAAAAATATGACCATCCTGGAGACAAAATTTTTTTTATTCTCTTAATAACATAGATTATTAAAACAGTCTATTATTTTGATATGTTTCAGCCGACGAAGCTTAATGTATACAAAAACGACGCAGAAAGCTGGGACTACACGACACCAGCATTGGGTAAGCTTTTAAGCTCTCTCTCTTACTTATTCTTCTGATTTACTCAGTCAATCATTCACCCGCTCAGCTGCTCACTCACTCGAGAGCAGTGCAACGGCGAGCGATCGAGAGTCGTTCTGTCTAATATGTTGTTTTTTTACCTTAAAACCTTTTTTTTATTTAAAATTTTTATTTTATTTAACTCGTAGAGAGTACTTTTGGTCTCTTTTTCTACCATCAATATTTCGCCAATGCTGCTATTGCAACTGATGCTATTCTGGTCCTCGCTTCCTCTCAGCTCGGCCTCATGCTCTATCAGCCTCTCTACTACTTCTATTTCCAACTCATTGCTTCCTACCCTCCCCAAGCCTCCTCCATCCCTCACTCGGGAATCCTACCCTACTGTGTTATCCCTGACATGTACCAACACTCTTTTATCGCCATTAGCCGCCTTCAGCCTATCTCTATACCTGCCACTAGTCGATTGCTTGCTGGCTGCCAGCCTGCCAAACTGACAACTATCGAATTGGAACTCCTCGGGGCGGAACATTGTCCCACTGCTAAAAATCACTGACAAACACTAAAAGAAGTTACCTTTTAGATCCACCAATTCCCGGGCATATGTCACTAGATTTCTCTGACGTGTGGATGACTTTACCACCGCCCCGAAGAAAATTCAAGCGAATAAACGCACTGCCAATAATTTTCTTTACCTATACTTACTACATATATATTAAATATCTCCATCTATTTATCTATCTATATGTCTTCATATAATATCTCTATCTTTTACGATTACTTTTTTGACCACGCCCTCTAATCCACAACTGTTATAACATTATAACTATATATTTAATCCTTTAATCTCTCAAACTGTAAATCACTCTTGCTCTTTCTCTGTGATCGGTATTTGTCCGCTGTACCAATTCCCGGCAGATATTGTCATTTGGAAAAATATACGCGAGCTTACGTGAGAATCCATGATAAATGCCACAGTTACACACAGCATTAATATTTTTTTTTAATATATCTTTACATTTTAATTCGTTATTACACTAAATGTCGCATGGAAGCATTTTGTAGATATATTTATTTATTTTAACAATTAATTATACATGGAAAAAAATTTTTTATATAGATTAGTAATACTGTTTAGCATTGTAAATTAAATATATCGAATTAGTTAACATATTTAAATTATGTACATATTTTTACGCTTAAATATATCGATCCTAGATTTTAAATAGTAAATTTTAATTATTATTATTATTGTTTGGTAGTAAATTTAATCCTTTTAAAATAATTTATGCCAACGAAGATAAAAGTGGAAATATTTTATTTGGAATATTTAACATTTAAATCTTATATTTAATGTTTGTTATGAGTACTTGAAACATATAACATACATATATAAGCTTTGAATTTAGACTTGGAAAACTATGCTAAACAGAGGAAAACTCAACATAAATTATTTTACTAAGGATTATATTATATTGTGTGCAGAGTTATAAGATTGTCTGCTTCGTAGACCTTAAGTCAATAGTTTTTTTAGATGAGTTTTAATTTAGAACATACTCATATAATATTTAAAAGGAACTAAATTTTTTTTTACACTGATGAACAGTATTATTTATTTAAGTTAATTAATATTTTATTACTTTCCGGCGGATCTGCAAAAAAAATATTCTGTGTATTTGTGAATTTTTTACATCAAAAAATTAGACGAGAAATTTAAAATGTTTTATTCAGTTTTTGTAGTTTATAATAAAACGGAAGTTTATTTCTACTTTAAATTCCAACAGTTTGAGTTATAAATTCTAAGTAAAATATTGAGGGTGTAAAAAAATGACACGATATGTTTTTTTTAGGAAATTGAATTTTATATAAAAAAAAAAAAAAAAAGATTCTTATCAGTTTTATCGTATCCCTTCTTCTCTCAGACGGAATTTCAATTTAAAGTATAAGCTTGGAATGATCACAGTTGTAAGCGCTTAAAAAAAATTTAAAATCAAAATCCTGGTGAAAACATTTTATCGGAGGCACATAAAAATTTTTATTTAACTTTTTTTAAAGTAAATTTATTTCTCTATATAAAATAGTTCGTCAATTTTTAAGTAGAAATTTAAAAAACTTTACTAAATATTTCTCGGCAAGTTTTTGTTAAATTATGTTACTATTTTAATTATACAATTATAAAAGTAAATAATTTTATCTAAAAAAAAAATCATAAATACACAGTATAATTAATTAAAATAATTATAGCTGTGTAAATAGATCCGTCAGAGTTAATTAAACGTAAAGAAGAAATAGAAGAAAAAATTTTTTTCCAATTATATTATATACTGACGTAATGTATTATTATATAAAGTAATATTTAATATAAATAGTGAATCATTGTCGCATTGAGCTTCCAGATACACATCAAACCTCCTAAGCACACATCGCGTTTAAAAACGGTATATATATATATATATATATATATATATATATATATATTTGTATAAAATATTTATTTATTTACTTATTGCTTAAATAATTTAGTGAAGTACTTGTCACAACACATGATGGATATCCCAGTGTATATTTAACATAAACACAACGGAAAAAATATGTAGCAAATACTAAAATAAATAATGACCGGCGTTAAAAACTTTTAAACATCATCAAACACAAATGACAAACATATATAATTTGTCATTGAATCACGCCATCAAAGATAATATATATAATAAAGAAGACACACAACAAATAAAATACATCACCGGCCTGCACTCAACTTTAACACAAGGATCACAAGATATAATACAACAAGTTAATATTAAACCGGTGATCAGCGATTAACTCCACACATCTAATCTCAAACACCAAATTATATTATCATTAATAGTAATAATAATAATTATTACATATTATTATTTTTATTACAATAAAATTACAATAAAAAAATAACGCGTTAAAATTTCAGTATAAATATTAAAAATTAATGTCAATTTTTGTTGAGAGACCTGTAGTAATTTAGTGAAAGATGCTTTCAAGAATCGTACCGTCAATTATCGCTTGAAGAACCGGCCGAGACATAAAGGAACCAAAAGAAAGTTATTTATACTGAATGCCAAAGGGATGGAGACACCACTAAAAAAATAATATAACAATAAAATTAATAATAATAATTACAACCAGACGAGTGAAAATGAATGAGAAATAGAGTAAAAAAAAAATACGGAAAGCTAATATATTAGAGAGTGTTAAAAACTGTAAATATGTATTTATATATATGCCTATGTATACGCATATATATTAATATATGTCTACGTAGACTAATTAGTTACGTAACTGTCACATAGCTCACAAGATCCTCACATATGTCACACATACTACGAGTAGAGTAATTAATATACGGCAATCGGACCCTCAACAACTTCCATTCACCAGCATCGATATACGACTATATATCTATATATATTAATATATATGAAACAACAACTCACCTCTACTCATGTAAATGCATTTTATAATATATATAATATTTATATACTACAGATGTACTAATAATTGAGAACAAACAATACTTTTACTACTATACGGCGCATCATAAGTTCACAGTAACAATGATTAATTCAAACAAACCATTTATAGAACTCTGATAAAACATTTACATTTATGCATATATGTGCTTTATTAGATATATGCATCGTGTATATGCAGATTAATTACCAAGTGGTTTTAGTAGTAATATATTAATAATTATTTAATAAATAACAATTATAATATAGTGATTTTTGCTAATGTGATCAAAAATTAATTTTTGCAGTATTAAAAATATCAAAATATGAGAAAAAAATTTATATAATTATTTGAATTACAGTCAATAAAATAAAATATTTCTTCAATAAATTTGTAATTAAAAAATATTTTATTAGTGAAGAAATCTTTAACATTTCTGATCACAAGCAACACTATTAATTAATAAAATAAAATGAATAATAATAAAAATAATAATAATCACAACAAAATGTTATATTGCATATTTTGTAATAAAGGCTACCAATGCACTCACAGACAAACATTCGACGGATGAACCTATCGACCACTGCTATCGCCCCGCCATCAAAAAATACCGAGTCTACAAAAATCGAGAAAAATATTAAGAAAGAAAAAGAGAGAGAGAGAGAGAGCTTAAATAAATAACCGGAGCATACAAAGTAGCAATTCCTCCCGTTCATTGACACTTAAATTAATATAAAATAAACACAAGTGCCGGCCGAGGTCTTAAACAATAAATTTGTCCCGGTGAATGAAATAAACACGGATGTAATGATAATAATAATAATTATTACTTGTTAATGATAATTGTAATCAACAAAAAAAAAAAAAAATCAACATTTGGAAAACATGTGCACGGATATACAAGAATAATTCGGAAGTGCGGAAGATTGCAGGTGAAAGATGTTATGTTGGAATGTTTGTCTGTGTGCAGATGCGGCCATCAACTACTTTGTTGACTTGAGGCGATGATGATGATGATGATGATGATGGTGATGATGATGATGTTGGATTTGCAATCGACTAAAGAGAAATTGAAAGGTCAGGTGATCTCGATCAGGTCTGGTGAGTGTACAGCACTTTAGGTAGGTTCTGCAAGTACTTTTGACGATCCAGATCAGAACCTCCGCTTGTACTTGTGCTGGAGATATTAAGCAGAGGCTTCTTCAACAATTATTTTCGCAACTGATCAGCTAATTAACGGTAAGTCGAGTAATGCCGCTTGCTTGCCAACCAAACAGTTAAGTAGTTTTTAAGCAGACATTTTATTATTTTTAATTATTTAAATAATATTAAATAATTATGTTGGATAATAATTTTAATAAAAAAAAAAATAATAAATTTTTTTATTATATTATTTGTATATATATGAATTAGTTGCTGGATATGAGGTGATAGATCGATATTGCAATAAATTTGTAGAGCCGCGATTTCACTGACAATGTTGCTGGTGGTTGGCTGTGGTTAGATTCTCAGTTTTAAGACGAAGAGTAAGAGCGAGAGATTAAATATACGACGGAGAGACGAGAGTGTGTGTTTGGTCGCGATAACCGTGCTTACCGAGCAAATTACCTCTGTTTAAGGTGCAGGAGCCCACCAAAAAGAACCAAACACCAACGGACGACCGGCGCCGCTTCTTGCTGAACCGAGATATGGAGCAGCCCCACAGCCATATGGTAACTTTTTTTCTTTTTTTACTTAACAGACTTTCCAATTTTTTTATTTTTGCTTTAGTTACATGAAAAATTGATTTTCTCAGAATGGAGGGAATATTTTATTTTATGATGGTGTTAAAGTAGCAGAGATTCAGGTTTTGATTAATTACACTGAAAAAAAAGTATTTTTTCTTCAAATAAATTTCTTGCTCCAGTGAAGAAGATGATATTCTTCCTGAATGTGAAAAAATATGAAGTTTAGATGAAATTAACTTTTTTGTTGAAAACAAATTTTTGGAATTTAAAAAAAATTTTAATTAAATAATGATTTTTGTTAAATTGAACTGTACTTTCTTAACTATTGACGTTTTAAAAAATATAAGCTCATTCCGATGTTACACTCATCAAGAGCTTTCGTTTGAGTACCCACATGCATTTTCATATATTTTTCATATATACATATATATAATATATATAAAATATATGAAAAATTGATGTGGGTACTCAAATGAAAGGTCTCGATGAATGTAACAT